GGCCAGACAGAAGATGGAGCAAGTGCTGTATAAACTCTTCCTTGTTAAGGCGACATTGTCTGCACCACCGACTATTAAACTGCTCCAGACATGGGCATTTTTTCAGCACAGTGTTCAAAAAACATCACTAAAGTAGCAAACTGTAGTAAACTTGCTCATTTAGATGAAATTTTCTGCCAAAATTCTCCCTTTAAAATTTCAGAATAAGGAGAACTCCTGAGTGCAATTAGTGTGCTATCAGCCAAATAATTTTTGCTTGTAATTAAGCTTAGAACATATATGTAGAATAAAAGAAACTAATCAATCATATCAGGTTGCCTGGTTTTGACCTTAAAGAATGCTATGATTAATGAGGAACGAATTTTAAAGAGATTGTATTGCCTTTGGTGAAATTTTTACATCCATGTGCTCCATTTTCTGACAGTTTCTCTATTCTGAAGAAGACTAATTCCCCTCAGAGACCTTATGGCACAGTCTCCCGATGAGCACAAACTAGACAAACTGTTCTATATAAAGTTCTTCAAAAGCATCTTAAAAACAATAGAAATTTTCCACTGTAATTGAGGGAGAGGCTCCTTTTACTTCAAGAAAAAATGTTTTACAATGACTGAAAAAGTCTGAAACTGAAAAAAGCAGTTAAAGTCAGGAGTATGTTATAGGCTGTTCTTCTAGGGTCTGATTTAATAACTGCTTTAATTTTAAATACAGAACAGTAGAATTTGAACAGAAATTCTTTGCACATGCTGCCAATGTAATAAAAAATGCAACAATTTGTACCAAAGGCTGCTCTACATATGTCCATCCTCTAAACAAATAACTAAAGCTATGTATATGAGCTGGAGTGAGTTCTCAATAACAACTTTGGAACTCCTTGATTAACTGTGCCATAATTTTGAAAAATATAGGAAATACATTAAGATTTCAACAGAATATGTAAATAACTTAAAGAAATACAGTTTAAAAAAAAGTGTGGGGAAGGCAGGAATATTCCCTCTTGTTATTTGCATCATGCCAACACTGAATATTTTGAAAGACAGCAGCCCTAAGTACATCAGCTTACAGTACTCTAAGGATTTTTCATGGTTAACTGTAAAAATCTATCTATCTAATCTATCTATCTATCTATCTATCTATCTATCTATCTATCTATCTATCTATCTATCTATCTAAACTGTCTGTCTTAGCACCAGAAAATCTACTTCTAGTAGCATAAAATCAGACAGCAGCTTAGGCAGATTTCTTCTTCCTTAGAAAGAAAGAAAGAAAAATGATATATAAACCACAATTAGAGAAGAAACCCAGAAAGTTTATAAAAACCTGGAAGCTTCATAATATTTAAGAGGTTTGATGCATTATGAGAAAAAAAGTGCACTTTTAGGGATAAAAAGAAATAAAGAAAAAAATAAAAGCATGCAAAACGTGTCCATAAAGGTATAAAGAACCATAGATAGGGACTCATAGAAAGAGGGAAAGATTTCCAAGAAATAAGAATGCCATCTTTTGGGAAGCAAAAAGGCATTGTTAAACAATTAAATGACTTGTTTACTTCAGTATTCACCAAGGAGAAGAGCAGACAGGTGCCATTAAGAAAATTGCTTCCCAGGAGATACTCGCCCTGCAGAGACTTGCAGTGAGATAGGATAAAATATAATACAAATGGGAATCAAAGACTTGCCATAACAGAAAATGGAGAAAGCAGACTGTCAGAAGATGCAACTAAAAGAATTCTCCTGGAATTGTAATAAAAGTACTTAAATAGATGGGGAAGGCTCTCCCATTCATCTAGGCTCATCTGCTATTCACTGTTTAATGCACATCTGCACACATACACATATTCTCCTTACAGCACTTTTCACGGAACAAAAGTAGAAGGAGGTATTGAAAGCAATTTGAATTTATTAATTATAACTACAGATACACATCAGATCATTCAGCTGATGTTAAAAACTGCTGAGCTCACCAACCATCTTGTCCAAGATGAATTAATTCCATGAATGTAAAACATAAAAGATAAAAAGCAAAGGAATCTAAAACATTTGTTTGTAATTTGGCAATCCAGTCAGATTCAAGCCAACAATGAGAGCTCAGAGGTCTTTTTGATTATAGTCTACCTGTGTCTGTAAAGCATCCATCAACATAATATTTGGTACTGGGCTTGCAAAATCTTGCTACTTTAAAATCCATCACTTGTCAGAAAAGAAGCTACCAAATTCTGTTAGGGATTATGTGAAACGATGGCACAGGCTTGCCTTTCTAGAGAAGATCTACAAAAACTGATTTTTAAAAAGCATCAGAGACTGGTATACAGCTAGGTGTCATGGTAATGCAGGCTGGAGGACTGAGGCCCATTGATCCAAATCTCTAGGTTTCCCTGAGTAAGCAAACAGTGGAAATGGTCCTTAGAAACTAGTAGCATTACTTTAAAAATGATGACATTATCATGTTTCTCATATGACCCCTCTAAATCATAGATGACAGAGTGAATTTTTATTACATTTTTAAAAAGAACTTTTGTTCCTGGAGTCATATTTTGTCCCCTAAAGAGACAATGAGACGTGATAGCATTCAGGTGATAAACACAACTGCTTAAAAGTAATTTTCTTTCACTCATGTAATTTTCTCTTACTCTATAGAAAGTTTCTCAGCCAGCTCTGATCTCAGAGCTACACAAGGCATAAAGAAAGGCACTGGATTTTATCAGGATTTCAATTCTATTTATCTATAACAGAGGCATGGAAAAATGAAAATCTAAATGTTTTAATGCTGTCAAGGCTACTCAGAATTACAGCTAGACAAAGATTCCAACCAGTAAAAAAAAACCAAAACAGGTTGAGGACAAACAAGCCAGTAAATACTGAGATGTTTAAGGACAAACTCAAAGATCTCAACAATGACGAGCATGGGATGAATGTACATGGTCCTTCAGAACAATTCTACGAGTCTTCAGGAAAGGATGTTTGTGATGAAACCTTAGCATTTCCTATCCATCTGACTACCAAACCATGATAAAAATATAGCACCATGATGTGATGCCTGCAGAGAGCAATATGGCTTTATTAGCACATAAAATGAGATACAGCTGTGATCTACTACTACCAGAGCCAGCGGAAGTGCCTCGTTACGATATGACTTCACTGGATGCTGGGTAATGCTTTGAATCAGGCCAAGAGATTTATTCTTGGGTTTGTGCCCTAGACTCATCTAACAGTTTGTGTTACTGGGTTTCAGACAAAACCAAAATGACTCAGTATCCTCCACATCTTTTCAGAGTCTTTGAGCAAATCTTATTTCTTCTCGTATCAACAGGACAAGGAGATCTTGGAGTTTTGTGCATAGGTTCTCAGGAATATTGAAACACACTATTTTTCTAAACAGCCTCTCCCCATACAGACCAGGTCATCATCAGTTAAAATAAACAAGGCATATATACTTAATAGACCCATTATTTCAATTTCTTATCAACAGTGATATGATCACTTTCAAGCAATACCACAACTAGCCTGATTTCAGATAAATTTCAAAAGTGGACTGCAAAATACTCTCCTTATGTAAAGGACCAAAATACCACTCTAGCCCTACAGTTCTGCCTCATAAGGGGGCCTATAAGGATGCTAGGGAGGGGCTATACATTAGGGACTGTAGTGATAGGACAAGGGGTAATGGGTTAAAACTTAAACAGGGGAAGTTTAGATTGGATATAAGGAGGGAATTCTTTACTGTAAGGGTGGTGAGGCACTGGAATGGGTTGCCCAGGGAGGTTGTGAATGCTCCATCCCTGGCAGTGTTTAAGGCCAGGTTGGACAGAGCCTTGGCTGACATGGTTTAGTGTGAGGTGCCCTTGCTCATGGCAGGGGTTTGGAACTAGATGATCTTAAGGTCCTTTCCAACCCTAACTATTCTATGATTCTATGCTAAGAGACATGTATAAACCTTATGAGTGAAAGAGAAATACTCCCATTTGAAGTGGGGTGTAACTCTTGCCTTCACAACTCTACATGCAAAAGGTCCTTTTATTCCTGTATCTCCTTTTCATGTGTGACATTGAAAATAAGCTTGTCTATTCCTGTCTTATCTCCTTAAATTCATAGTGGAGCATTCAATAAATGGAGGGTTAGGGTAACGGGTGAAAAGACATCAGGGCTGGTGTGACACAGTCTGGGCTATCAGCCTGGGATTTTATCACCTTTGCCATAAAGAGACTTTCTCAGTGGTTATGGTATCAAGGAAAGCCCTGAATGTGTCATCCTTTCTTCAGTCACTGGTCTTTTCTTGCATTTACTGAATTTCACCATTTCCCCATATGTTCTGAACTCCCTTAGGGGGCAGGATGCCTATTTTAAACTCCATGGCAGCGAGGAACTGCCCATGATCTTGCAGGTTTTAGTCTTCAAAAACGTCTTTTTCCCAGGTTCCCACATGCAGTAACGCGCAGCGCACATTCTTTGTGCTGTGTAATCAAACAATACCGCACTGAGAGTTTAAGTAGGCTGAAAGAGTTTACCACCCAACCATGGCAACAAATAATCAAGGCCCAGGCTGCAGGGTGTCTCCACAGCCCGACAGCAGCAGAGCAAAAGCAGCCCCCCTGGGGAAATGCATATTTCTTGTTCCTAATTTACTGGACCTCCTCCCAGAACCTTGAACATTAGGACAAAAACACAAAGAAATAAGTCCCAGTCCCCACTATGAAAATCCACCCACAGAACAATTTCATTTCTGGGAAGGTGATGCATAGAAACAGCAATTGTAGGGGCTGTGGTTAGTTGCCTATTCAGTGGTCTGCACCATCAATTTACACATTCTCTTTCATCCACCTTTTTTCCCTTTTCTGGCAAGACTCTATGCACTAGTTCAACCTTGACAAGTATAAATACAAAAGAAAATCCATGCCAAGATGCCAAGTTTTGTTGGTGGTTAGCGTTGGGAAGTATGTGCACCCTGAGGTATGCCTTGGAGGCTGACCACAACCTGGGGACTGGAGGAGGCTCATTTGCACACACAAACATTTCCAAATCCAGATAAGCTACTCACCAATGAAACGCATTTTATTCAATAATATAATTTAATAGGAGCCCTGCCTCCATTTCGGGGTGCCCCCTCAGACTAACACTAAGGAAGAGTTTGCTTCAAACCCTTGTTTTTTTTCTTCCTGATGAGCCATAAGCTCTTGACCTTTTCTGTAACATAAGGAGGTTGGTTGCTGGGCTTTTCTCTGTGAAAATGCTAACATCTGCATCTAACTATTAATTACCAAGATCTTTTTTGGTTCTTTTAGCCTCAGCAGTCATTGCTCTAATCCTTAATATCAAGTCTTCCCATCAGGGGACTATTCGTTGTTATTATCGCTCTACACGGTTTCTAAGGTGTCCACCCACATCACAACTAAGTCTGAAAGAGAGAAGCATGTGGTAAGAGCTGCTTTGCCTACACAGGAAAGGAACATTTACATGAAAACTGCTATACAGTGACCAACATGGGCGAGCAAATGGCAAATCCCCTCAGGAAATGGTATGTTGTTGAGCTGCTAAAGTGGATTTCCTCCCACCAGCACAGCCAAGAGTCCTGCCTGAACTGCCTTCTGAGGCTGAGCTGCTTTCAACCTGCCACTGCTTAGAAGTGAGTGATGTTCAAATAACAGCTTTGCTTAATAAAATGCTGGCTCACTCTTTTTAAAGAGGTACAAAATGTATTCCTAAGCAATAAGCTGGTATGTGATTTAACCACTGTTCCAGTGATTTAAAGAGTGTTTAATTCAGATGATTATAAAAAGCAAGAAGTCCAACGGCTCCACCAGGGCTTGAGCCAAATGTCAGTAAACTCAACTGAAAGATCCCTACCCACTTCAGAGGATTTAAGATCAGGCTCCACCATCAAGCTGTCAAGTTTAACTATTTCAAGGGTCATTTTTTTGTTGTCAAAATACAACTGAAACAGCATGTCATGTTATCAGGATGATGTTATTTCTAGTCTGGCATAAAAGCCACCACACTGCAAATCAGAGGTGTCTTAATTAACTATGTAAGCTATCTTAAAAAGACAATAAAAACTATGGAATGATAATGGAGAAAAAAGTAGCAATAACAGATTCTTCACAAACTGTAGAATGAATATTTCTACTTTAAAAAAGTTCACATTGTTATTTGATTTTACATATCTTTTTTTTTATAAGGGTTTATTTCAACCTCCTTATAGCATTGTGGAAGGAAAATATTCAGCTCCTTTAAGTAAAATTTAATTAGCTCAAAACAGACTCTATTAAATACAGTACTTTTTCCTCTTAAGATAAAATGTGGGCTCTAGTACAAGTTTATAAATGTTAAAAAGCTAAATTGTACAGCACACTCTGCAGTAATTATCACACATCACTTCTGTCAGGTAAGCCATGTTTCTCTCCTTGCTTTGCAGATGGGAACACTGAGGCACAAGAAATTTCTTTAATGCTACAGAAAAGGTGCATAACAGGCCAGAACAAAATACAGTAGAACAGCCTTGGTCAAATGGACAGATGTCTGCAGCCAAGCCAGTTCCCTGAAGCTTAACCATTATTTTAAACAATGAAACATTTTCCTTTTACTGTGAACATGGAAATTTAAGCATTTGGAAGGAAAACTTTGTCTTTCAAAATATTTTATGATAGGGTATGCACAAATCTGATTAATATTTATTTAATTAACTTTACCTCTTTCCTGCCAGTAGCTTGCACAGGAACATCAGTGAGAGCTCTGCAGAGAGATCTGCAGACATCACTTTGAAAATCTACTCACAGTGAAGCACAGGTTCAGTTCCTCCTCCTGTTATCACTTCTGTGGATCTCCAATGCATATTTTGCACTCACTCCGCTCATGGAACTTCTCTTGAAGTCACTGGGAGTTCAGTGTGGGGAATGTGTGCAGTATTTTACAGACCCTCATCAGTGTAGGCAGGAAGAACTGACCTCAGCTCCGTGATTGGTTCTGTGATCTACTCACCATGTTCCTCTGATTACACCATATACATTTGGTAAGAAAGATGGATTCTGCTTAGGCATAAGTGTGTACAATTCCCTCACTCCCACACACAAAATCAGTGAGGAATGGGAATAACGTTCTTGCTGATCCCTGTATTTAGAATCTCCCATTGACATGCCCCAGTTGGATGTGCTAACACCGTGCTGAGAGCTTATACACGGGGGTTTGCACTAATCTCTGCCACTTAGCTCTGCTTAGAAGGATACAATTCATGCAGGACTGAAAGAGTACTAGGATGTCTGAGGAAATATATCTTATATGCTGGGCTTTAATTTGAAGAATGCATACCTGACGGAGAACTGTGAAAAAATGTAACATTTCTGCTGGCCACAGCAAAAGGTTAAAGGCTCCTTGGGTACTCATCCAAAAGCAGCTCTTGCTTAGAACTTGCAGTGCCAGATCAAACTAGTGGTCCAGAAGCACACACTGGTGTGAAATGACTTTAACACTACTGAGGATTAGGGGAACACTATGGTTAGCCATGGCCTGACCATAAAGCCCCTAACTTTTTTTATTAGTTCAGTGAAGGTTGTGAATGACCAAGATCATAGAATCATAGAATCATAAAATCATAGAATAGTTAGGGTTGGAAAGAACTTTAAGATCATCAAGCTCCAACCCCCCTGCCATGGGCAGGGACACCTCGCTCTAAACCATATTACCCAAGGCCTCGTCCAACATGGCCTTGAACACTGCCAGGGATGGAGCATTCACAACCTCCCCGGGCAGCCTATTCCAGTGCCTCACCACCCTAACAGGAAAGAATTTCCTCCTTATATCCAATCTAAACTTCCCCTGTTTAAGTTTTAACCCATTACCCCTAGTCCTACCACTACGGTCCCTAATGAAGAGTCCATCCCCAGCATCCCTATAGGCCCCCTTCAGATACTGGAAGGCTGCTATGAGGTCTCCACACAGCCTTCTCTTCTTCAGGCTGAACAGCCCCAACTTTCTCAGTCGATCTTCATATGGGAGGTGCTCCATCTTCGGTATTAGACTCAGTAGGAGCAACATTATTAAAACCCATAAAAGAATAAAATGATTTTTGGTGGCTGGATTTCATAAGTAGGTTGCTGCCTACATTGTATTGCTAAATTTTTATTTTCCAAAGCTAGGAAAAATAATATTAGGAAATAACTGTATATCGTATTTGTGTTCCACCTTTTCCCAGTGCCTTGCAAAAGAGCTTCCTGTTGCACATCCAGACCTGCAGATGCTACTATAGCACCTATAAATTACAACTAGCTGGCAATTACCATGTGGCAAGTGCAACTGTGGGGTTATGAGAGGAGGATTGCAAAAATATTTATAATGCAAACAGCTGTAAGCAGTTATCGGCAGTTACATCCTGAGCACCGTTCAGAGGAAAGCAGATGGGACGGTATGGAGGGTACTAGGGAACATGAGCAGCAAGCACAGAGGCTTGTTCCACTAGATGGCAGCCGGCGCCAGCATCTCAATTTTGGGTGAAAAGCAGAATAAAAATGGGTGTCAGGCAGGAAAGCTGAACTGAACATAACCTCCCTACACACCTCAGCCCAGGAAAATGAGAACTGTGGATTCTAGCTGGCTCCCCCTGTGAAAACTGAAAACCACGGGTTACTGAAAACAGAAGGTAAATGTGGCAAAACCAGTAGGGGTTTCTACCCTGAGTTTCCAAGATGCTGTGAGGAGGCTGGAGTAAAAAAAGAAAAAAGAAATATTAAACCCGTGGAGTAAATAACTCTGCAGGGACATTTACTCTTTTTTCTACTTCAGTTTTATCTTAATTTTTAAATAAGAGCCTTTTAGTCTATGTCATTGGTTTATATTAGTTGTCCTGTAGAGAGACAAATTGTGCTGCTGCTTTTTATTGGGGAATTAACTTCCATAACAGCTTTCATGGAAAAAATGTTGCAGTCCTGCACTCTGTATGAAATTCCATTTGTGAACATACATGCTAAGGATGTGCCCAAATTGACTTGTCAAACTTATGGAAAGCTTAGAATAAAATCTGGAAAATGCTGGTGTTAGCCCCTTTTGACTTCAGACACAGCCTGAATTTGGAGAGTCTACAGAACACAGCAAAAATAATTAAAATTTTCTCTTTAAAAAGCAATTTATGCTGGCAAATTAATGTCACTTTATTTAAAAGTGATGCCACAGATTAGATTAATTGGCTTCCTTATTAGTTAGCCTCAGCAGGGCTGTAGCAAGGGCATGAGTGTGTACGAAATGTAAACTGTCTGTCCTTCCTGATGAGGCAGATCGCAGCTGAGGATGAGGAACAGCCTAGAGAGAGCACAGGGAAAGCCACGCTATCACAGCCTGGTTGCTGTAGATCTAATGGGCAGGAGGGATATTGTGTAGGGCAGCAGTCACTACCTCAGCTGTTCATTTAGAGATAGGCTAATGTGCCACTGGCACACACCAACAGGTCATAAAGCTGGCACCTACTTGCAGAAGACTAACCCATGAAAAGAGTTTGTAGAAATTGGCAAAAGGGTTGTAGGTCAGTGCCAAAAGCTTTGGTCACTCGTGTTACAGTCAGGTAGAGGTCAAGGGTGCTCCCTAAAGGTTGCAAATTTTGTTGTGACATTTGACAACATCAGACTGAACTGAACCTTGTGCTATGTTGGTGTGCCTGATCCTGCTCTCAACAATCTTCATACACACAAATCCATCAGAGCAATATTCCTGTGTTAAATATGAAATACGTGCTGAACAGATTACCTGTTCATCCAACAGAAGCTCTACTTTCAGTTGTTGTATTTCATCACCTGTTACCTACCCATGTTCCAGGGAAATGGCAATGTGCCACCCCTTTCACCATTTGCACATACAATGATCACCTGGAAGATCAATGCAATTATTGCTCTACAATATGGTTTTCAATGCCTGTAAAAGCACCTTCAGCCTGTACCATACCTGTACCAACACAGAAAGTGCAATCCTTCCAAAACTCCTCCAGCCAGTGGTTGCCTGAGCCATCACTACATCATGCTGTAGGGACACTGATGCCTGAAACACCTGTGTGCCTTTTGGCACCCTCTCACTTTCCAAATCTTCCTCTTATACTGGATATTTCTTCTCTGACACATCCAACCCTCCAACTGCCTGCACCACTACTCAACCAACATGGAGACCAAGCTGAAACACACCTGAGTGTGCAATGCAGTTGAAGCCGAGGTAACAAGAAGCTGGTTGTTAGGGCTGAAGAAAGATCATGCAGTAGTAGCAAACTGCCTGGACCACTGTATTGCTAATTTTTAGCAGTTTTAATACTACTATGCATGATACTTCTATTTTTTCCACCTTTATTTTGTTTAGAATAGAACTGTGTTGTCAGTCAAATGCTTTTGTTCTTAGCCAAGTTTATTGCAGATACAAAGCTTATGTGCTCATGCTGTGAGTTCATCCTGTTGCTCAACACTGTTTCAGCCCACAGGCTAATTTCAGATACATTGCCAGAAAGATGGAGTTTTCAAAACCTAAATAAATCCAGCCAGTTCCTGGAGGGGAAAAAAAAAAAATGAAAAAAAGGAAAGAAAAACCAAAGACCACATTGAGGCAGGGAAGGAAAGAGACTGAAGCAGCCTGGGGCGTGTCACACTGGGACACCAGATTTGACATGGACGATGGTGAGAATCCTCCTAATTCCTATGTTGCAAATGTACACGGAAACAACTTAACCTCAAACTCATGATCTTTTGTGGTGAGTCAATCACAAGACACAAGCTGTAGGGAAGAAGGCTTCACAAGCTCCTGGGCTCATAGATTTTAAAACATATATGTCTCTCTAGTACAGATTTTTTTCACAAAGTACTGTTTCTCTGTTGCTAGATAGAAGCCAAAGAAAGTTATTTCAGCTTTGCTGTCTGGTTTTAGGGTTTTTTCTTTTTGTTTTTTCTTTTCTTTTTCTCTCTGTTTTTGTTTTGTTTTCTGGTTTGGGGTTTGGGTGGGTTTTTTTTGTGTGTGTAGGTAAGTGTGTGGGACAAATCCTTGAAGAAGACCTGAATGTAACTAGTATTTTCATGGTGAAAAAGTACCGAGAAACTTGTTTGTGTCTTGCTATTGAATCTTTACTTCTCTACTGTTAAACCCACTAGTTACTGTGCCAAGGAAATTGGATTGGATGCAGGTGTTGCAACGTCTGACTAACATCATTCTAGGGTTAAACAGTGAGGTCCCCTGAGGACCACCCAGTGGAAGGCTGCTGACCCACAGTACACAGGCATACTGGGAGCTGCCTACAGAAAGCAGTGGGAAACAGCATACAGGCATGGCCAAAATCCTGCCTTCTCTTCGGGGGTAGGCACCTGGCTTATGGATGCAAAATTAACAGGACTTTAGGACCTGCTCCAGTGCTTTCCTAAATCAGAGACACAATAGTTTGTTTAATACAGTAGTATGAGTGGGAGAGAGTGGATATAAACTGAGAGGGAAGGTTCTGAAGGGATATAAGGAGATATTTTCTCCCCATGAGGACAGTCAGGCAGTGGGACTGGTTGCCCAGCAGTGCAGTCCCCATCCCTCCAGGTTTTCAAAATCAAGCTGGATAAAGCTTTGAGTAATCTGCTTTGAGCGGGAGGCT